TCTTTTCCCCATCTAAATTCTATTTATAAACTATTTGTGAGGTCTCCAAGTTAAGAACCCCTGTTTAATACTTCTCCCCTTTGTCCCAAACAATTATAATGCTCAGTGGAAAAATGTAAAAGAAAAGTGATTACAGTTCTGGTCCAGTAATTTAGAGATGTTCTGTTTTCATAATATGCTATTGATTTTTAAGGATTATTTCCACATTCCTCTCTCTGAAGACAAACAAGGCAGGTGGTATCTGGAGCTGATGTATGCTGGAACTGCTCTAAAGGACAATTGGAGTCTTGCTGATGTTGGAATATCTTTCTGCTCAACTCTCAAATGCTCTGTTAAGGTGTGATAATCAGAATAACCTTTGTCCAAGATGTCTATCTCATTTCGAATAAAGTTGTGGATAAGTCAACCAAAGTAATTTCAATACTTAGAAAGAGTATTTCTCTTCCATTTGTATCATTGGTCTTTTGCATGCTTTGTGCTGTAAAGGGAAGTAACATATGGAAACTGGATAGAGTTCCCCATTGTTTACTCCTTCTCCCCCTTCCTTCTCCTGTCCCTTTTGCTGCCTGCCCCCCGCCAGCCATCACAGAGATCACCACAAACCAACATGAGGACAAGGGCAAGGTCCGACCTCAAATATTGATGTGGGAAGAAGAGGATTTGGTCACTTCAGTGGGGCCACAATGATTAGGGGCAGTGGATTGAGGAAGGAGAAGAAATTCTCAGCAAAAATAAGAATGAAGGAGAAGTTTCTACATTCAAATCCAGATAGATAGCCTTTCAAGTTAGGTGTACATAGAGCGGAGATAGCCTTTTTCATTTATAAAGTATCTTTAATCAATAGTGATTAACTTGGGATGAATGGCTAGGCTTAAAGAATCTTACAGAACTCTAAAATTGTAAAATACACAAAATTATGTATATGCCTGGAGATTTTCTGGGTAGAAGATCTTTAACTTTCAGCAATTTTTTAAAGGGATGAGTGGCCCAAAGAATTTAAAAGCTGCTACTCTAGGGTAGAAGTATTATTCTGTACTAGTTCTTTAAGGCTATATGAAAACATGAATCTCAAAGGAACTTAGTAAAGTATACATTCTCCACTAAATGGGGCACTAATTTTCTCATATCTAACATTAAAAAATTTTTCATGGTAGTCAAAGTTAACTCTTTCTTTTAATATGTTTTAGTGATTGATTAAATAGATGCTTAAAAGTAATATGCTCCAATATTTATTGTTAAATAGTAAAGACAAGTCACAGAATAATAAGCAGTATATGATCCCATTTATGTAAATAAAAAGATCATATTTATATGTTTTAATGTTTTATGAGCATTTATTTATATTATTTTTATATGTTTAAAGAATGTCTATCATAAAAGGAAATAAAAATAACTGATTTCTTCCCATGTTCTCCCTCTGATACTCAGAAAATTGTAGTATAATAAATACTTTTCAAAGTAGACCAAATTCCATGTCATTTCTTAATGTCTTCTTTTAATATCTTTAAATATATTTACATACTGTTTTTGGTATTATACAGGATCAAACCTCTAAAATTTCCCAGAATTTTCTAATGCCAATAATAACGTTCAAAATTTTTTATTGTTTGCTTGCTTAGAGATAGTGGTATAAGTTCAATAATAACATTTGAGCTGACTGAAGGAATCTGATGGCTGTTCAGGGATGCATACAAAGTGTGTTAAGAGTATGAATAGGATACTTTTATTTAACTGAGGATTGATTTTATTTTTAT